AACTGATGCAGGCGTGTATCTTCAAGTATTAATTTGGTTGTGTTCTTTGTTTCCTTCTCTCTTTCATATTCTGAGAGTCCCCACACCTTTCTTCCCCAGTCTACACTGAAAACAGAAACAAAGATGCAAAAACAAAACAAACCTTCAGACTTAGCAAATTTCAGGTACAAGCTGACTGAGCAAGCTTTTCCAAATTCTGCTCACTAGATAATATGGAGCCTAGAAAAGATGAGGCAAAAGCCATAGTAGACACTTGTGCAGGAGAGCAAGGACCAATAGGAGGGATACTGGTGATCCTCAACCCAGAAGGAAAGTGGCCTTTGGAAGAAAGAAAAAGGGAGTAGAGAGAAAGACAAAGAATATATATGCTTAAAAATTGACACTTATCTTTGAAGGCATTAAGCTCAGCAAAATAAGCCAGCCACAAAGGACACGTGTTGAAGGCACCTGGGTGGCTCAGTTGGTTAAACGTCTGACTCCTGGTTTCGGCTCAGGTCACAATCTCAGGGTCATGAGATGGAGCCCTGTGTCAGGCTCCTCACTGGGCGTGAAGCCTACTTGAGATTCTCTTTCTCCCTCTGTCCCCTCCTCTCACGCACATGCACACACACGTGCTCTCTCTCTCTCTCTCAAAAGAAAAGAAAACAAAATAAACCCAAAGGACACATGTGTGATTCTATTTATAGAAGGTATTTAGGTCATATTCATAGAGGCAGAAAGTAGAATGGTAGTTGCCAGAGGCTGGGGCAGTGGAGTGGGGGAAATGGGGAGCTATTGTTTAATGGGTAGAAAGTTTGAGAAAATTGAGGAAGATGAAAAATTCTGGAGATGGATGGTGGTGATGACTGTATAACGATGTTAAAATACTTAATGCCACTGAACCGTGCGACTTAAAAATGGTTAAGATGGTAAATTTTGTGTTATGTATATGTCACAATTTTAAAACATAACTTCTGATTAACTGTTGTTCAGCATGGACAGCCCACAGTTCAGCAGTACTGGACGTCAATAACCCCACGCCCCATAACAGAGATGGGCACTTAGGGAACTTGGCCACCTTGGGCAGGAGGTAGAGCATGAAGGGAGAACCATGTCCCTCTCCTCCCAAGGAAGAACTCGACAATTCAGCTGGGACTCTCTTGGTGAGGATAGCAATAGATACACCACTATCACACCTGGTTCATACTATGTGTACATACTATGTTCTACCTTGTCCACAGATAGCCAATAACAATTAATGAATGCACTGTACTTTTGCACAGTCATTTGTTACCTAGTCTCTAAATATTGGACACATGGGTATTTCCAGTTATTCATCAAGACCAGAAGTCAGGGGTGCTTGGTGGCTCAATTGGTTAAGTGTCCGCCTTTGGCTCAGGTCATGATCTCCAGGTCCTAAGTTTGAGCCCTGCACTGGCCTCCCCACTCAGTGGGGAGTCTGCTTGTCCCTCTCCCTCTGCCCCTGCCCCACTGCTCATGCTCTCTCTCTTAAATAAACAAAATCTAAAAAAGAAAAAGAAAAAGAAAAAAAAAAGACTAGAAGTAAAGGTTAGGAATTAGGAACAAACATCTCCATTTTCAACTTAGCTCTTTTATTACATCTATGTGTGTTCCTTTCAGGGTCCTTTTTAACCTCGCTGGCTCTGTTTTTTTCACAGTTTCCCTAATGTGTGGGACTGGAAGAGTGGTTCTCCTTCCTTGCTGCACATTAGAATAGCTAAGGAGTTTCTAAACTGCACTCAAGCTCAGGTCATATATCAGGACAACTACCTCAAAATCTCTGGGCATGGGACATGAGTATTTCTAAAAGCTCCTAAATGACTCTAATGTGCAGCCCAAAGGAAAAATAATCTCTTATGTCTCTTTCCATTCTAAAAAGATGAAAGTGTTTGAATTAAAAAGAGAGCTATAAATATTTTACACAAATACAGGTTTTTGTTTTCAATTACCTCCTTGGGAAATACTTTCCCAAAAAGGAACTATGAATTAAAGGGTACATTTTATGACATTGCTATTTGGAATAATGAGGCTGATCTACAATGTCATCTACCAAATATGAATATACTCTTTCTTCATTGCCATAGCAATATTGCAATGTATAGTTTTAATTTATTAGCAAGTTTAACAGATGTGAAATATATCTATCTCAGAGCTATTTTTAAGTTCACTAAAAAGTTGTAAAATCGACATTTTTTTCAATGTCAGCTAACTATTTGGTTTTTGTCTATGTGTGAGCTCTTTTGACCTTTGCCATGGAGATGATTATTTTTCTTGAGAGCATTATCAATCTGTTAATATAATAATAAACAAAATAAAATAGCTACCATTAATTGAGACCTACTATGTGTTACTATACCATGCTTTACATGTATTTTATTTTTCACAAAATTATACAAGGCAGTTATTATCCCCAATTTATAAATGAGAAAACTAAGGTTCAGACAGGTTAAGCAAGTTATCCAAAGTCCACAGCTAATAAATAGTGGAGCTGGGATTTGAATCCCCCTCCATCTGGCTCTCAAGGACTATCCTCTTTACTGGACAGGTAAGCACTCAGTGCCTGTCCTGTTTACAGTACATGCTAATGTTTTGCACCATGTGATTCCTGCTCTCTGACCCACAGTGAAGGGTCATTTCAGACCTAGAAGTAACTGATGAATATCCTGGCCAGCAACTTGCTGTGTATGGCCTGGTCCAAAATGGTGAGCCAAGCCAATCACATTCCTCTCTTAAGAATTTGAATTCAGAAATGTTGAGTGTTGATGTACTTAACAGAAGGAGCAAAAGTGAAAAAGGCTGAACAAAGAGCTGGCTTGTGTATACCAGAGTCAGAGGAGCTATAAATTGAAATGATGAGGGACTAGAAACTAGGGCTAGCAGAGAAAGATAGTTGGTAGAGAAAAAACTAAGTAGATGTGCTTAAAGAAGTAGAGACCTAACCAAAGAACAATCATTTGGCCCATGAAAGGAAAACCAGAGTAAAATACCTGAAGCTACCTCTGTTTCCAGCATTTCTCCAGTTTAGATGCAGTTCATGTAAATCCCTAACATAGGCATCCTTTTTCTTGAGCTGACTGGCCTGTGTCTCTTCTTGCTATCAAACAAGTCAAAATAAAATACCCTTTTTATTAAATTTTTGAAATGCTCTGGATATTAAGCTTTTATCTGTCATATTTATGACAAAACATTTCCATTTCAATTCTTTCCTTGCTTTCATTACATTTTGACTTTTATAAAAGTGGAACCATCCATCTTATAATCAGTAATCACTGGTCAAAACTTTTATTTGCCCAAATTATAGTGACAGGGAGCAGAGAGTGACTGCCTGAATGTGGAGTAAGGTAAGAAGTGGGAGGAGTCAGGAATGAGGCTTTACAAATGGGCATGAAGAAACTTTGGGGGTAATGGATATGTTCAAGAGCTTGAGTGTGGTGAAGATTTCACAAGCGTACACATGTCAAAACTAATGATATTTATACATTTTGAATATGTGTGGTTTATTATATACCAATAATACTTTAAACTCTTTTTTTAAGTAGGCTCCATGCCCAGTGGGGAGCCCCATTTTAACTTAGGTTGCACTGCACACACATGACATGACTGGCACTACACAAGGTCATGGAAATAAAAACAGAAGGTGGCACCCTTGGGAAGTATATGTACCTTCCTATCATCTTCCTCTTTCATCTATTATCTATCACCTTCTTCTTTCATCTTCCTGAAGCAAGAAATTATCTTGGAAAAGCCCCTTCAAATTTAACTTCTGGTCTTTTGGTCTTTCAGGGATTATTGGGTAGTGCTGTCAGACCAGTGAGCTAATGCCTTATGGAATCAGCACTCCACAGGATGATGCAAAAGGAGGTATTCAGTATTAAATATTGGCAGTCTATACAAAACAGAATCTATGCAAAACAGAATCTATGCAAAAGGAGGTATTCGGTGTTAAATGTTGACAATCTATACAAAACAGAAACTTCTTTCTCCAGGAGAAAGAAGAACTCAGAATCAAAAGTTGTAATATACTTACAGGTGGCTGGCAAAACAGATACTGCCCCAGGGCACTGATTTCAGTGAATTAACTCTTGCTGGAAAGGGTGCAAGAGACCATGGAGTTTCTTTTCCTGGGAAAAACAAAAAAATAAGTCAACATTTCGGGCAAATATCCCCACTCCAAATTATTAATATGATCGTTTTTATATTTTTTAAAATTTTATTTATTTATTTGACAGAGAGATAGATAGTACAAGTAGGCAGAGTGGCAGGCAGAGGGAGAGGAAGAAGAGGCTCTCCGCCGAGCAGGAAGCCCAATGCAGGGCTCGATCCCAGACACAGGGATCATGACCCAAGCTGAAGGCAGCCACTCAACTGACTGAGCCACCCCGACACCGCCATTTTTATCAATAATTAGCATGTTTTACCAATCAATACAGCATAGAGGCTGAAAGCTCAGGACACATTAGATTCCTGCTTCTTCTCTTCCCCTGGGGCAGGTTACTAATCTCTCTAAGCTTCAAGTTCCTCATCTGCAAAACAGAGGTGACAGTCATCATCTTTCACGGCAATGATTGAAAGGTAATGTTAAGAAGATACTTCAAGTGCCTGATTTATCGGAAGTACCCAATAAATAATCCATTAATTGATTATTATTGTGAAAAGTTACACTGAAAAACTTCTACTTACCAAGTGTAAAACTAATAGAGGGTATGTTTTTCAAGCTAGTTGGAAAGCAAGCAAACACACATGAAAAAGCAGAGAACAATCCAAAGTGATTTAATGTTTTTCAGTGTAATAGGATGTTAAATATGAAGTTCCTGTCATCCCAGAATTTTGGAAGATGTCCCAAAGGCTGCAAACATTGGTTGTCAAAATATCTATTCAGGATATGCTACACAATTATGAAATCGATTTTGCGACCCCTTAAGATGATGTTCCACCTCAGGAATTAGAAGAGAAGAGGAGACCAATCTCTAGACCTGAAAGATTCTAGAGAGACCAGCATACCTAATTCTTTGGAGAGAGCTGTCAGTGTTCTGTGCACGGATTCCACACATACATGGTGTGAGGAGCAGGTGGGGCTTCTCAGCACTTTGAAGGGATCAGTGACCCTCCTGCAGCATGTATTGTTGCTGGACGAAGTATGCTGCTCGACTAACTGTTGTTTCTGTTGCAGGCAGTCTCTTCTCTGTCTTCAGGTTTGTACTGTTCTCTTTTTACTCTGGATGTTCTAAAGTTTCACTGGGACATGACTTGGTACAGATCTATTTTTTCTGTTCATATGTGGAGTGCACTTTCAACCTGAATAAAGATTATAAAGATTTTTTACTCTCTTTCAATTCTGGAAAACTCTCAATCATTATCTCTTTTAAGATCATTTTCCATCATTTTTATCTTGCTCTGGATTTCCTATTAAATATACAATGGACTATCTCAATACATCCTCCATAACTTTTGACAGCTCTTTTATATTTTTACTTTTTTGTCTCTTTGTGCTACCTTTTGGTGAAAGCCTCAGTACCACCTTCTAACCCACTACCTCAAAATGTCCAAAACTATAATGGTCATTTCCTAACATCACCATAACTACCTTCCAAGTTATTTCTTCCCCATGTTCCTTATCTCAGGGACTGGCATTACCATCTGTCAGAAATCCTGATTCCCTCTTCTCTGAGGCCTACCTTCTATTGATAATCCTCTATACTATTATCAGAGCGATTTTTAAAAAATACAAATCTGATCATATTAATCCCATAAGTAAGGCAGATCAGTGGTATCCCACTAACCTTCAGAAACATGGCTTAGAGGTCATTCAGGACCTGGTCTCTGCTTACCTCTTAGGCCTCATATTTTTGCCATTTTCCCTTCACATTCTACCTTCCAATTCTTCTTTCATTCAATATGTATTTTTTGATGGTTTTTTGGGGTTTTTTAAGATTTTTTTTTAATCTATTCATTTGAGAGAGACACAGAGAGACAGAGACAGAGAGAGCACAAGTAGTGGGGAGGCACAGGGGGAGTGAGAAGCAGACTCCTCGCTGAGCTGGGAGCCCGACATGGGGCTGGATCCCAGGACCTGAAGATCATGACCTGAACCAAAGGCAGATGCTCAACCATCTGAGCCACTCAGGCACCCCCAATATGTATTTTTACTTAGTGAGTGCCTGTAATGTGCTACTTACTATTCTGGACTTTGGGATACTTCAGTAAACAAAACAATCCCCTAAATTTTGTCTTCATAGAATTTAGTATGCAAAATAAGCAGTAAACAAAAAAATGTATGTTTTATGTCAGAGATAATAAATGCAGTAGTAAAAGTAAAGTAAAGCAAGAGGAGAGAATGCTGTAGGTGGAAAAAGAATGATGAAATCTTAAATGACCAGAGAAAGCATTACTGAGATGGTGGTAAGTGAAGACTCAAGAGAGCTAAGGGAGAAAGCAATGAAAACATTAGAAGAAAGATCACTGAAATCAAAAGGAACAGCAAACACAAAGATGTTGAAGAGGAAAAATACCTCCTTCAAGAAACAGCCTGATCAATATGGCTGAGCAATTAGTGAAAGTTCATTCAGTCTGATGTTTTGGGGGCTTAGAGGCATTTGGCTTTCACTGAGTTGAGACACCACTGGACGGTATTGAGCAGAACAATGATATGATCTAATCTCTATTTTAGAAGGATGAGTCTATGGCTGTGGAAACTAGCATTTAGGGGGACATGGAAGTAAGGAGACCAGTGAGAAGGCTACTGCAAAATCCAGGCCTGATACCTATACTAGGATAGTAGCGGTAGGGGTGGTGGGACATAGTCAGATTGACATGTTTTGAAGGACTTAACCAATAGGTCTGGCTAACTGCTGTTCTAGACCCTGGAGATGGTTTGATTAAAAGATTGGATGAGAGTTGGGAAAGAAAAAGAGGTGACAAAGATGAGTAAAATATTTTTGGCCTGAGCAACTTAAAGGATGAAATTGCCATTAACCTAGATGGAGAAAATGTCAGGAAGAGCAAGTTTTATAGGTAAGGTTAGAAGATCAATTTGGGAGTCTGAAATTTTAGATGCCTAGTAAACCTCCTTATGGAGATGTCAAGTGACTATATCGTAAGTTTAGAATCCAGAGCAGAGAGAGGTCTTGGCCAAGATTCATACTTGAGATTAATCAGTACCTCAGTAGTATTTTAAGCCATGAAAATGAATGAGATCAGTTAGGGAAGGAGTATTGACAGAAAAAAGAGGCAAACACTAAATCTTGAACTACTCTGAGGAATTGGGGAAATTAGGAGGAATTGGCAAAGGAAACTGAAGAGTAGCCATAAGGAATGTGCCACAAGGAACTAGGAAAAAAAGGAGAGTGAGGCATCCTAGAAAGAAGAGGAAAAGTGTTTCAAAGGTGAGGGAGTGATCACCTTGTCAAATCTGTTTGAAAACTGAGAAATGTCCATGATGACATGGATGACAAGGTCATTTGGTGACCTTGATAAGCACATGGTCAGTGAAGTGCTTGGGGAAAAAAGCCTTATTAAAGAGGGCTTAAGAGAGAATTGGAGCTAGTTGACTCTTTTAAGGAGTTTTATAAAGGTCAACAAAGAAATAGGACAATAGCTGGAGAAGGAAAGTACACCAGGAAGAGGGTTTTCTGTTGTTATTGTTTTTGTTTGTAATATATTAATTTTCTATCGCTACTGTAACAAATTACCACAAATCTAGTGGTTTAAGACAATATAATTTAGTTATCTTACACTTCTATCATTAAAACTGCACCTTGGATCTCACTAGGCTAAAATGAAGGTGTCAGCAAGACTATGTTCCCTTCTAAAGGCTCTAGGGGAGAATCTGTTTTCTTGCTTTTCCAGCTATGATGTCACTCACATTGACATCTTCCTATTTTAAGGTCAGCTCATTAGCAACCTTAATTTCATCTGCAACCTTAATTCCCCTTTGCCATGTAACCTAACATATTCACAGGTTCTGGGGATTAGGACATGGACATCTTTGGGGAACCACATTTCTGTCTGCCACATATTGGATATATTACTGCATACCTATTGATGGGAATAATCCAAAAGAGAGAAAGAGAGAAACTTGGTGATGCAGGAGAAGGTAGAATCACTGGAGTAACCCGAGTTAGCAAACGGAAGAACTTGTTTCCATAGGAGCAAGGAGGGGACTTCCCCTATTTAACAGAAGAAAAGGGAGAAGACAACATATGGGGACAGATGCTGGTCAGTAGGTAGATGCAGTGGTGACAGCTTATGGGAGTGTCTGTTTTTTCTCAGTGACTTAGAAATAAGGTCCTCAGTGTAGAGCAAGGATGGGAGAAAAGGTATTGGAGGTACTAGGAAACAAAAGTTATAAAACTGACATCTAAGAGAGCAGGAGCATCGAGGTAATATCAAGGGCCCATTTGAGGTCTTTGGTCATTAGTGACATTAGTCACTTAAATTGTGACTAATCAGCTTGTTTTCCTCCAGTTGAGTAAACAAAGCATTGGTGTATTAGTTAGGGTAGAATAACTACTTTACAAACTCCAAATTTCAGTGCCTTAACACAACTAAAGTTGATATTTCTCTGAGAAATTTATATGGACTGTTTCGCCTAATGCCCACAGTGGATGACAAAAGTAGATGCTATCATTATGCTCTTTTTCAGATTAGAAAACTAAAGGATTGACTGAAGTAAGCCTAAGCCATAATTTTTGCTTTAAGTATTGGTTTTATTTGGGAGTATTTAGTAAAAAATCTGCTTCACAAGATTAACTCAGCAAATATAAGTTGGTTACTATACTCATTCATTAACAAATTATTATTAGTATCATTAGGCTATGTATTTCAAAACAGTTTGTGATCTTGTATTTGTCTTTTAATCACTAGAGAAGCATTTCTTTAATTATCAGGGTCAGGTAAATTATTTTCTAGATAAATCTTATTTCTTCTCCTGGTATGGTTTATTCATATTCTCTTTTCTTGAATCTTCTTTAGCATTTTAATTTTTCTAAGGATTTATCTTTTTTCCAAATTTATTAGTATGGGAATAATAACTTTTCCCAAATATTCTTTTTTAAAGATTTATGTATTTATTTGAGAGAGAGAAAAGAGAGCACATGCAAGCAGGGGGAGGGGCAAAGGGAGACAGGTAGAGCGAATTCTCAAGCAGGCTCCCTGCTGATCTAGGAGCTCAATGATCATGGGGCTCAATCCCTGGACCCTGAGATCATGACCTGAGCCTAAACCAAGAGGCAGCAGCTTAACCAACTGAGCCAAACAGGCACCCCACCCCCCAAATATTCTTAATTCAATTCCACATTATTTCATTTACCTTGTATATCATTCCTGAATTTTAAAATAATTGCAATTAATTTTTAAAGGAATTCTTTAGGTAGAAATTTCTATACCCTTTTAATACACTTATTTGTAGTTTTGGAGCTTTAAAACTAATTTCCATAAAGATTAATTTAAAGGTCTTAACTTCATTTAAAAGAAAGGAGCTCCTCCTACTGTTTTCCTGGATTAATGCTAATTTGTTACATCCTAGTTTGTGTAGAAAGGATTAGAATTCCATTTATGTAGGCAAAACCAGAATGTAAGCCATGTCTCTCACCATTCAAAATTTTCTTACATGTGATAAAAATTTAAGCGATCACTAGGAAATTACCAACTTCGGCAGTAAATGCTAAAGGTTAATTCAGCCATGCCTCCTGTTGTTTGGGTAAGGAGTTTCCCTTCTTGAACCAAAGAGAGCACAGAATTGTAAAATAAAATGTGGGTTTTGGGTTAGGCCATTTACCAGTTATGTGCATTTGAACAAATAACCATTTACCAAATATTAACTGGCATTCATGGATAATTAGGCACTATCCTAGAAGTTAGGAATACACGAATAAGAAATTCTGGCCCCAGTCCTCCCTTCTGTCCTATTCCCTGACAAGCACAGAGACCAGAGTTATAATCCTGGTTCTCTTAGTATCCTTTGGGTAACACTGGTAAATCATTAAAGTATTTGAGCTTAGTTTTCTAATCTGTGAAATGGAGGTAATAATACCTACCTCACAGGGTTGTTGTAAGAACTAAATGATAAAAATGCTTTGGTAGAATACCTAGCACATAATAGTTATGTACTAATGTGAACTCCTTTTCTTTCTCCCTTTGGATTTCTCTGGTCTCACAAAAACGCCTCACCTCGAGGCAAGAGCAATAGTGTCCTTTTAAGAATTATAGTACCCCACAAGAATCAAATACTATATACTCTGAGTTCCTGAAACATTAATGCAAGGTTTTCTCAACCTCAGCACTACTCATTATGGGCCAAATAATGCTCTGCTGTGGGGGGCCATCCTGTACGTTGTGGAATGTCTAGCAGTATTCTTGGCCTCTCTGCACAAGATGCCAGTAGCAGCTCCCTGGCTGTGAAAATCAAAAATGTCTCCAGACATTGCCAAATATTCCCTTAGGGAAAAAAGTTGCCCCTGGTTGAGAACCTCCGCATTAGTGGATCATAAACTCACATGTAGTGGGTCTTAAGGAGCATTTTTTAAAGTTAAATGACATAAAATTGACACAGAATAGAAAACATAATAGGTACTCAAATACTGCTTAGTGATATAAATCTCTCTCTCTTTTTTTTAAAGATTTTATTTGTTTATTTGAGAGAGAGAGCACAAGCAGGGGGAGTGGCAGAGGGAGAGGGAGAAGCAGGCTTCCCACTAAGCAGGGAACCCAATGCAGGGCTCGATCTCAGGACCCTGAGATCATGACCTGAACCAAACAGAGACAATCAACTGAGCCACCCAGGTGCCAGTGATACAAATTTCTTACACTGAGTTTCAATTAAAAGTTTAAAAGCCACTGTTCTGTACTTAAGACTTCTCACATCAACTATCTTGTTTAATCAGAAAACTCTATAAAACTGGCAGGACAGATGTTATTCCCATTTTACAAATCAGAAAATTGCGGCTCAGAGCAGCTGAGGTACCCACCCTCAGTGTTACCCAGTAGGCTAAAGGAAAGATATGAAGAACCCAAGTCTCTAAACTTCTAGTTATAAGGTAAAAAGGAGATTGTTACCTGAGGGCAAAGGTCTCCTGTGTGGTTCAGAACAGAGACATCATGGAGTCATAGATCTTTGGCAGTGGGTCCAATCATTAAAACTAGGTATCAGTACACTAGATGGAAATTTGAAAAACATTTTATTAAGATTTTTATTTTCCACACTGGCTTGTTAACCTTTATATACCCAGAGTTACTTATGGAATGAATAAATAAATGAATGAACACTGACCACACCATTCCTGTTCATCTTCAATCAGCCAGTTCTACTGATCACCTTCAGACAATCAAGCATGCTCCTCCATTTGCTTGGAATCGCTCCTTTCCTTTCCTGATTTTTTTTTAACTTTTACTTTTTCTTTTTTTTTCTTTTTTCTTTTTATTTTTTTAAGTAAGCTCTATGCTCAACATGGGGCTGGAACTCTTAACCCCAGATCAAGAGTCACATGCTCTAGAGAGTGAGCCAGCCAGGTGCCCTTCCCCATTGACTTTTAGAATCAGCTCTTTAATAGTCCTTTAGGGGCCACCTTCCACAAATCCCCAGACAGGTTTATTTCCTTCTCTGTGTTCCTTCTAAAGGCCTGACTTAATTGCACTGCAATGATCTGTTTTACAACTGTTTCCTGATACTCCCTGTGCATTTGCAACCCTTTCTGCTCCCTCTCCCTCCATCCCAGAGGTAGCAACTATGCCCTAGTTCAAACAGCATAAACCATAATACCCACCACACTACTTGGAAATGCATTTGCTGTGTAATACCTGTTGACTGACTGAGTGGAAAGAAAGAAGACAAACCAAGCATATCTGACATTATAGAAGCAAAGAATGCTGCTATTTTTTGAACTGAGAACACTAAACTACCCATTTCATTGTGGATTAAAGATAAGGACAGCACTTGTAAGGCTCCTGCTCTCAGTGGTGGCAGACCACCACTCTGTGGAGGTGTGAGTACACTGCAGGGTGCTCACACAGCTGCCCAAGTCAAACTCCAAAACCAAACTGCAGCTCCCTACCACCAAGCCATCTGGAGTTGGCCCTGTCACTGTTAAGTCTTAGGCCCTAAGCTATCTAGTTCTGCGTCCCCACACAGTAAGATTAACTTAGACCCCAGTTAAATAGATGGCTCCACAGGACTTGGTCTAGAAGATTCTGAATCATTAGGTTGTTGGTAAGGCACCAGTATTTAGTATTTTTAACCAGCACAACAAGTTATTCTTATTATCAAGGCAGTGCAGAAAACTGATCACTGTGTCAGTCACACTATAGAATTAGGGCATTTATTTTTCAGTGATTTTACCTCAATGTTAACTTTGAAATATGCCATTGGTTAACAGATAAAATGTTCCTGGGGTCCTCGAACCTATAGTTAATTAATATTTAGAATATATTATTCAGCAGCTTTTACCTTCCTTTTCAGCAGGGTGATTCAAGTGAGAGGCAAGAGCCATAGGCCACCCCAAGTCTGAACTGTTCTCGCCACATGAGCCAAACTAGGCCCTGGAACTTAATTAGTGCTGAGATGATCTCAGCGTTACCGGATCCAATTCACTCCTGTCATAGATGAGCTCAGAAGAGCTGAGGTGACCAGCACCACAGTCTTCCTCACCAGACTTGGACGGAAAAGGACAGAACTGGGGAGGGCTTTCCTTTAATATGATGCATTGTTAGAAGCTGTCCAAAGAAAGGAGAGCTGAGAAAGAAAGAGGCCCGACTTTTTACTCCTATTTTCACCAAACCATGGTCTGCATCACAGTGAGAAGTAGGGGCAAGATAGCTCTTGCCGGTCACCGGTCTTCCTTCCTAGTCAGATCCAGTCTTTCCTTGTTAACCGGGGCTCTGGTGGGAAAAATACCAGCCCACGTTTTTGAAGAGGGAGGAATTCTTCATCATTTGTGACCTCATGAAATCCGTCTGGGCCAAAAAAAGATAGTGACCGCTTGGCTGAGGGCCCTGGGGACTTCCGAAGGTTTGCTCCAGTGTAGGAGGGGTGGAACTCTACAAAAGACAGCACAGTAGGCAGAGATTAAACCTCCCACCCGAAAGCCTCACAGGCCGAGAAGCAAACCGAGAGCGAGCCCCGCGCGCACGCGCACGACCCGCCCGCGGCCGGGGCCTGGCGCTCCGGAGCCGCGCGGGGGCGGGTCACGTGGGCCGCGCAGCCCTCTCTGCGATGTCCCTAAAAGGACTTGGGCTTAACGAGCCCCGCCCCTGGCCGTGCTCTGGAATGTGCCGGGAGGCCAACCTACAGGACAGGCTCACCCATTTGCCAACAGGAAAGGGGGAAAGAAAAGCTTACCTTGTAAGAGGAGGTGTAAAAAGACAGAAACTCAGTCGAACCATTACACGAACCATTACAGAATACTCTGTGTTCGGAGTTGCCCGCTTTATACTCCTTCCCGTGCACTCATTCAAAACTGCACCCTTCCAGCACACTGCGAACTCCCCCCACCCGTCCCCTTTCTATTAAGTCTAGCCCACTCTGTCGGCGGACAATGGTGACTGGGCTCCCTTCCGGTTTGCTGAGCGGAGGCCGGAAGTATTGGTTTTAGGGGGTCTGGGAGTAGAAGAGTGTTGATAGCCGCAGCCAGGGCAGCGAAGGGGTTACCCAAGTGCTCGGATTCTCGCGGCTGTGCAGGGTGAGTGGTGCTCGCGATCCGGCGTGTGAGGCCCATCCCGGGGACCCATCTCCGCGGGGCGGCTGGGTGGGCCAGCGCCAGGAGCGCACCTGGGCAGGTGTACTGGCGGGTTCCCTGGTTCCGGGCTCATCGGCGAGCTCCGGGATCGAAGTCACGCCCGGAAGTACCGAGGCGCGAACTTTGTCCCTTTGCCCAAACTTGGAGCTCGGCAAGTGTGACTTAGCTCGCTGGCGCCGCGATCTCCAGCGACAGCCGGGCCTGCGAAACCCGAGTCCTGCGGCGCTGACTCCAGCACTAAGTTTAGTTTCTAACGTAAACTTGCCCGATTCAAGAGAGTTTGCGCAAAATCCGAAGCCCAGTGTTCCCCATGCTGCAGCTGCTGTTGCAGCTGTGTGGCTACGTTTAGTAGGAATAACCAACTCAAATTAGCAATTTCCTCAGCTCAGCATCCACTTCTATGATTAGAACTTTTCTTAAGTGATATTTTACAAAGGGCTTAGGGGTGTAGTTTGCAACTTGAGAAAACTCCAAAATGCAACACCAAATTCCTTTTGGATGGAGACTTTGGGTTATGTCAGTTTACCGAAATATTAACTTTTACAGTAGTTGAGTAGGTATATGAAAGAATATATTTCTAAACAGAACTTGGGAACAGAAATAAGGGTTCAGTTGAGATTTTAAGTTAAATGCAAAATGTTTTATATCTGAAGACGAAAGGAGAGAGTATTTCTTAAAATACCTACTGTTTGTTTTATGTTTTGGAAGGCTTTTGGTAAAACTTAACCAGAAAAGCTTTCCATTTTCAAGAGTGAGGCTTTACTGGCAAGTGAACCCTGACAACTTAATTGCCATTGTCAAACGCTAAGAACTTTGGGTGTGGCAGTCTGAGATCTAATCCTACCTTCAACCGGAAGTTTGCGTAGGAAGTGAAAACTTGGTTCATTTGGAAAGGAAGCACCAGCCTGAAAATGTATTTTTTTAAAACTGCTGTTGGCTCCAAAAAAATCACATGCTTAGCTTGAGGATAAAGTACATTGATTAAATGAAACAGGAGATTTGGTCTGGATACTATATGCTATCACACTAGGAAGTGTTTTTGTTTGTTTTCTTTTTCTTTAAGTAGGCTCCAGGCCCAGTGTGGAACCCCTCCAGGGCTTGAACTCAAGACCCTGAGATTGAGACCTGAACTGAAATCAAGAGTCAGACACTTAATTGACTGAGCCACCCAGGCGCGCCACTAGGAAGTGTTTCTAAGATGGGCGTTTTTCCTTGAAGAATGTATATTTTCCTAGGATACGATCAGTTTGAGTGTCTGTTCTGTAGGAAAAAAGCTCTAGATTATTTTACATTTATTAGCACTTCATAAATGTTACATTCTAGGATTATAACTAGAGTAATCTTAATATTAGTATGGATCAGTACCAATTTATAAATGAAACCATAGTATGTAGAGAGGCTGAAAAATCTTCCGGTTGCCCTTGATGTGTCGGAAAAGCCTCTTCTACCACTTAATCTATTGTAACATCTTCCTTATGTGATTTTTTATTCCTCCTTTTGTCATAACCCTGAATTGAGTCTCTTCCTATTTGATCAAACTAAAACACACACACACACACACACACACACAAATACATTGTTCCGACACTTACCTCTCCTGATTTAAAACAAGGTTAGGGGCACCTGGGTGGCCCAGTGAGTTAAGCCTCTGCCTTGGGCTCAGGGTCCTGGGATCGAGCCCCACATTGGGCTCTCTGCTCAGCAGGGAGCCTGCTTCCCCCTCTCTCTGCCTGCCCCTCTACCTACTTGTGATCTCTCTGTCAAATAAATAAAATCTTAAAGAAAAATAAATAAAACAAGATTATACTCCTGTAAATCTGTAAACTGAATCTTCTTGACCACCACTGTTTCATTCACTTTCTTGTGCATCTGAAATCCTTTCATATTTCATAGACGCCTGTACTGAAAGTTTCCCTGCTTTAAAGTTTCATACAACAAATATGTCTTCACGCCAGAGATCTTTCGTTAAGTGCTTCAAAAATAGACTCCAGGCTCTTACTTAGAATGAGTGAGAATACTCTTTAACTTGAAAATCTCTGATGCCTACATCTTCCCGTCCTATATAAAGAATACTTACATTGATGCATGAAGTATTTTCAATGTTTTTTACCTTAACTTTCTAAACTTCTGTGGGAGTTGTGCATTTGCTGAAGGCTTGTTACATGAGGAGAGTTAGTCTCACTCCTTTGGGGAAAGTAAAAGTGGATAATGAAACTAGCATCATACCGAAGGGAAGACAGTGATAATATCATAAGTGATCTGCTCTTTGGGATTATAGCACTGTCACTTATTTGGGTCCCTCTACATCAGTGTTTATTCCACCCATGTTTTTTTTTTTAAGATTTTATTTATTCGAGATAGAGCAAGTGAGTAAGAAAGAGAGTACATGCGTGTACATGAGGGGTGTGGGGAGAGGCACAGAGGGAGAGGGAGAAGCAGGCTCCCCACTGAGCAGGGAACCCTATGTGGGACTCAGTCCCAGGACCCTGGGATCATGACCTGAGCCGAAGACAGGTGCCTAACTAGCTTAGCCACCCAGGCACCCCTCCACCCATACTTTTAGTTTGGTAGGGAAAAAACCCCACACTTCCCTTTAGAGCAACTTACTGTGAAGCTGAACTGCCTATTGCTGGAAGGTTCCT